AATATGAAGATTTAATGTCTAGATTTATGATTTCAATTTTTATCAATCTCTTAACTGCAGTATTGAGTTAAATAACGGGATATTCTGTCTAAACTAACGTCAAATGAAAAAAAAATATACAAATATCGCATTATTCTACTGTTTGCAGCTTCCTGGCTTCTTTGGTCGCGGTGTTCGGCGAATACGACATTTCGGGGGAGCTGGAGTCGAAGCGCAGCGTAACGAAAAACGTACGCCGCGTCATCGTGAACCGCGGTTACGATCCGGCGACATTTGAGAACGACCTGGCGCTTCTGGAGCTCGAGTCGCCGGTGCAGTTCGACGAGCACATCGTGCCGATTTGCATGCCGGAGGAAGGCATCGACTTCACCGGCCGAATGGCGACAGTCACGGGCTGGGGCCGACTTAAATACAGTGAGTATCGATTTTCGTTCACCCAATTTATAAAATGCGAACGCCTTTGTGCACATACGACTCATGCGATAAATTTCCCGCAAGACTAGAAAGTACAAAATGAAACAGGTTACCGTGACGAGAGCAGAGTAACAACTTTCACGATGACTCTCGTATACAGCCTCCTACGCGCCCGAATTTTGCTCGTGGTTCTAACGTGACTTTCTTTTCCGTGCGGTCAATTCGCCGTCAAGGTTTTACTAACGGTATCGCTACGTTCGATAGATGGTGGCGTGCCGTCGGTGCTGCAGGAGGTCCAAGTGCCCATAATAAAGAACTCGGTTTGCCAGGAGATGTTCCAAACCGCCGATCACGCGAAATTGATTTTGGATAGCTTCCTCTGCGCTGGATACGCTAATGGCCAGAAGGATTCTTGTGAGGTAATCGGATAAGTTGCTCTCCCTACCGTGTTCCATTAGCTTTATTAACTGTTCCAGCTGTTAGCGGTGCCTCTTTGATCTTATGGCAAATAATATGATTACTCTGTCGGCAGCACGTGCGAAGCTTCAGTTAGATATTATAATATCAGTATTATCATATACAATCTACTCGATCTTCTGTCGTAGGTGTTATTTTTCATTCTAGAGAGAAATATCAAACGCATTTGTTATCCTGTCTTTATTTATCAGCACCACTTTTTAATTCTATAATGCTAGGTAACGCAATAACTTTATCGATCACACGTGGAAAATTTATATCAACATTCTTAATAATATTTATTTGCTTTTCATTTTGAATTTTATTTGTTTTTCACTATTTTGTTTAAAAGGAAGAAAGATTTTTGTTGTTTCAAAGAAAGAATCTTTGACGATTAATTATTGTCCTTTCAAATTGTCGTATGCCGTCTTCTGCTTGAA